GTAGACAGGCACCTTCTCCCTGTGTCCTCACGTGGTGAGAGCAGAAAGAGGCAAGCTCTCTGTGTGTCTTCTTAGAATGGCACTGATCCCATCGGGAGGCGGGAGGGCTCCCCGCTCATCACCTCCCAACCCCTGCTCCAGATACCACCACGTTCGACGTGAGGATTTCAACGTATGAATTAGGCGGGGACACACTCCTGCAGTCTGTTTTAGGGGAGGAGTGCGGACTCGGACTCTAAGGGCGTGGGAGTCCTGCCCCGTCGCTTTGTGGCTTTGGCCTCTTGGTGTCGCCCGCCTTCTCTGAGGCTTTGCTTTTCTCCGCTGGGAGCCCCTGCTGCTGCCGCCCAGCACAGACATCCTGATGAGCAGAGAGCATGGCGGGCCTTCAACAAGCTCCGAACAGCTGTTCTGAAATCCAGGAAGCCTGAGGCCATCCTTCGGATGGTTGCTTCCCAAGGGCTTTCAGGTTTCTTTTTCCCAAGAGGGTTGGGGATGGCCGTGCTGCTGCTGCTCTCAGCTTATTCTTGGAGACCTGGGGGCTGGTGGGTAACAGTTCCCAACATCACTAGCTTCTCTCCGGAACTCTGCTTTGCCCCAGAGAGCGGTCTGGTTAGCAAGTTCTTGTCTTCCAGAACTCTCTGAACCTCATCCCGCTGCTCCTGCCGGGGTAGAGGTGGGGCCCCTGCTCACCTTCCTTCTCCTTCTGTCTCAAGACCTCCTGTTGTCTGCATCCTGGCACACGGTAGGCACTCACGCTCTCTTTCTCCCATAACCCAGTTGCTGATTGCCATTTGTCTTATTTGATCTTTGGTAATCACTTTCCGGGCAACAGATTGCCTTGAAATATGTTCTCCTGGTTAATACCTACTCCTCCGTGCTGAAGTGCTTGATGAGCCTGAGGCCCAGCGCACCGCCTCGCGGAGCCCCTTCCCCAGTGCCTGAGCTCCCTGGGGGGGGGGCCACGGCTGAGCCCTCTGCCTAGCTCAGGCCTTCCTCCCTGGGGCTGCTCGGTGAGGTAATGATAGGACAGTGCCGGAGTAGCTTGGGCAGGGGGGAGGCACCAAGCTTTGTGTGGATTAGCTTTAATTAAGGGAATTTAGTTTATTTAATTAGCATGTAATCCCCACAGTGACCCTTTGACGTTTTTATGGGTGAGAAAGCTGAGGTGCAGAGAGAAGGTGAGGGTGCCGTAGTCGCTTGGGTGGCAGAGTTGAGCTTATAGACCCACTTCCCCTGCCACCAAGGCCTGTGTCTTTAATCACAACGCTGTACTGTTACTGCCTCAGTCAGCAGTGTCTTCAGGGTTTGGTTATTTTTTCGTGAAAAACTCATTATGCCATAGAGGCAGGCCTGCATGCAAGACTGCTTTGCCTATAGTTGGTGTTCAAAAAGTGTTTTATTGAAGTTAAAGTCTCTCAATTCTGGGGAATAACTTGAATTATAAGCTGGCGTTCAAATATTCGCAGTTCTCTTGGTTTGCTGTTAGTCACGTTCACCGCTGCAGACTTTATCATGCTCAGCCGCCGCTCCTTCTCGGCCCCGCCTGTATTCACGGCTCCTGCCCAGCCCGGCCTCCTTGGGTCGTCCTGTCTCATGTCCTCTGGCCAGCCCCTTGGCTCCTTAGCCCTTCGGACACCCCTGCCCGGCCCAGTTCACTTCTCCTGCCTGCGTCTCTCATGCCCACACCCTGGGCTGCCGAACACAGTTCCAGGAGAGTAAAAGGCTCACAGTGTGCAGGCTGGAGCCGCTCCAGATTCATGCTCTCCAGCCTCGACTGGGTCCTCAGTGCTTGCGGGCAAGTCCACACCCTCTACCCCCAGTCTCCCAGGGGCCATTTCGGCCCCCTTCTGACCATTCTAATGGATGACCCTGCCCCAGCCCCTTCATCCTCAACAGCTGACCTTGCTTCCTTCTGCACCTAGCACAAACCAGCCCTTAAAAGGAAGTCCCTCCCCTCCTGCCACCAGACCTGGATACTAACTCCTGCATCCTGTTACAGTGGGAGGGTGGCCTCCTCCCCGTGCCCTGTATTCTACTGCCAGCCGCCCCTTTTCCCTCTCTGGGATCTTTGTCCTTTCCCCTCTCGGGAAGCACTCCTGCCCACGAAGTCTTTCCCGTCCATGCAAATAAGGCCTCCCTCAGCTCACCGGCACTGTCCCCTCCTGCCAGCACCGTCGTCTGCTGCCCTTTGCAGACAGACGACTTGGAGGAGGTGTCTCCGTGATACCCCTAGGTGCTCGCCGCCGCTCACGCAGCCCCTGAGCTGCGCAAAACCAGCTCCCATGCCATCTCGGCCCAGATCCTTCTTGATAAGGTCTCCAAGTACTTTCTTGTCACGAAATCCAGTGTGTATTTTTCAGCTATTTTCCTTGATCTTGTGAGCTTTTGACATAGTCAAGTAACTTCTCCTTTTCAAAATACTCTTCTCCCTTTTTTCTTTATCTGGCTGCTCTTCTTCTCTTTTGCTTTGTGTTCCTTGAATGTTGGCCTTCTTCAGGCTGCCGGCCTTCTCTTCTCTCCTCTCCTTACCCACTGACCTGGAGCACCCTACCTCTGGCCTCCAATAATCAGCCAGGTGCCAGACCTCTCGTCTGAGCCCCAGACCTGCGTATCCCGCTGCCTGTAGTCATCTCCACTTAAATTTCTCACACGCATTTTCTGCTCACTATACTCAAAGCCGGACGCTCTTGTTTCTTCTCCAATAGTCTATATCTCAGTAACTGATACCATCTTTTGGTTTGCCCAGCCCAGAATCATGGGTGTCACTGTCACCTCCTGTGCTACCCACCTCCGTTGCCCCGATCAGCCTCTTAAATATCTCACAGCAGATGCATCTCGCTGCTCTGCCGCCTCCACCGTGATTGCTTCAGCCACATGACTGCCCACCTCCGAGCTGGTCTCCCTGTGGAAGGCCCTGCCCTCCCCCAGTTCCCACTGCCCGGTGCGGCCAGTGATGATTCTACACTGCAAGTCTGATCGAGCCCTCCCCGCGCTCCTTCCCCCTTCCCTGCGCCATCCAGCCCCTGGCTGCTCTCTGGCCTCATCTCTCGCTGCTCTCACCACTGCCCTAGTGTTCTCTCTGCTGAACTTCTTGCCTGCCTCTTAGGAAGCCACGTCCTCGCCCATCTCTGGGCATCCAGACACGATGGCCTCTCTGCCTTCTGTGTTCTTGACCTTCCTCCCCACAGCAGAGCTTTCCTAACTTGTGTTCTCTTCTCAGTGTAGATGTCTCTGCTGTCCCCCCGCAGCCTCACCAGTCTGGCCGTGTAGTCCCAGCACACCCCTTGCTCTCCTGGAGCAAAGGATTGCCCCCCATGCTGCACTCACCCCTCTCCTCACCTGCCTACCTCACCAGATTTTGAGTGCCTAGAGGACCAGGGTCTCTACTTGTTCACAACCGTTGCCCCAGTGTTTAGGTCAGAGCCAACCATTAATATCCACTCTGTAAATGGTTGGAGACTAAAGGAAGGGTGTGGTCTTTGCGTTCACAGATGCATTTATTATTTTTTTTATTGAGATAAAATTCACACAATATGAAACTCACCATTTGAACCATTCCAGAGTTTACAATTGAGCGACTTCTGGTGTATTCCCAATGTCGTGGAGCAGTCACCACTGTCTAATTCCAGAATACTTTCATAGCCCCACATGGAAACCCTATGTCATTGGCAGTCACTGCCCATTCTCCCCTCCCCCAGCCCCTGTCAACCTCTGATTTACTTTGTGTCTATATAGATTTCCTTGTTCTGGACATTTCATATAGATGAAATCATACACTAGGTGGTCTTTTGTGCTTGGCTTCTTTCACTTAGCATAATGTTTTTAAGGTTCATCCATGTTGTAGCCTGTATTATGGCTGAATAACATTCCGTTGTATGCAGAGACCACATTTTGTCTGTCTGTTTGTCCACTGATGGACACTGGGGTTGCTCCCACCTTTTGGCTGATGTGAACCGTGCTGCTGTGCTCAGTCGTGTACAAGGTGTTGTTTGAATACTTGTATTCTGTGGGAGTGGGAGTTCTGTGGGAGTAGAATTGCTGGGTCATATGGTAATTTTGTGTTTAACTTTTTGAGGAACCGTCAAACATTTTTCTGCAGAGACTGCACAATTTTAATTCCTACCAGCAGTGCATTAGGGTTTCAGTTTCTGTATATTCTCATCACAGATGTGTTTTGAATGTTGACTTCTACAAAATAAAAGCTAATTACAGACCAGATTTTGTTATGAGGTTACCAAGGGGTGAGCCACATCTCCCTTCTTTGTTACATTTGCATTTTATTTTACTTAAATTGCTTAAATGAATCTCATTGTTTGGGATTTACAAGTTGCTTTATTATACAGAAATTTTGTGGTAGTACAACTTTTTCTATTCAGATAGATGGCACTAACAGAACCTTTTTAAACCTAATTTGCCTTGAGTAAGATCCAATTGTTAATGGTTTAAAAATTGACGACGGGTGATGGAGGATTGTTATGGGTTGGATTGTGTCTCCATGAAAAATATGTTGAAGTCCTAACTCCTGGTCCCTGTGAACGTGGTCTTATTTTGAAATGGGGTCTTTGCAAATGTAATCAAGTTAAGATGAGGTCATCTTGAATTAGGGTGGGCCCTGATCCACTCTGACTGTTGTCCTTATAAGGAGAGAAGAGACAGAGACACAAAGACAAGGCCATGTGATGCTGAGGCAGAAATCAGAGTAATGTGTCTGTGAACCAGGAACACCTGGGCCACCAGAAGCAAGAGGGTTCTGAGGGAGCACAGCCCTGCCAATCCCTTGGCTTCGGCCTTCCAGCCTCCAGAATTGTGAGAGAAGAAATGTCTGTTGTCTTAGGCCACTCAGTTTGTGGTACTTTGTTCCAGTGGCCCCAGGAAACTCATAACTTGTACAAGGATGTAGGAGGTTTGTTGTAAACAGATGAGTTTGTTGCTTCTTTAGTGGTCTCTATCTGGTAACACTGACAAGAATTGAAGTGATGTATAGCTTTTGTTTTTCACAGGCAAAGGGTGGAGGATATGAAAGTGAAAGTGCTTACCCCAACGCAGAACTCGTGTTCTTGGAGATCCACAACATTCACGTGATGAGAGAGTCACTACGTAAATTGAAAGAGATCGTGTACCCTTCCATCGATGAGGCACGGTGGCTGTCCAACGTGGATGGGACGCATTGGCTAGAGTATATAAGGGTAAAGAGGGCCAGTCCTTTCCAGGCTTTCTGGTTAAGGTTTCTCTGTGTCTGTGCCATAAACCTGTCTGTCCGTCCAAGTGGTTTCTCAACATTGCGAAGAAGTGCACCTTTGCTGTGTACTCGGGCTTTCATAGTTCCCTAGGCACTATCCAGTCTGGTCTTTGTTGGGGGCTTTTGTGACAATACAAGCGATAGTGCTTGCTTCGGATCAGTTTTTTAAAGCACTTTGTGGCCCTTTAATAAAGGCCCCTATTTACTGCTGTAGTTTTTCTCAGTGTAAATTTTTCTTCCCCACGGTGCTAATGTTTCCTAGTGATTCTGAATTGATTGCATTCTTGTTTGGTTTATTCACCGGACCTTCCAGTGTTCTCCCCAGAATTATTTTTGCTGCAATAGAAATTAAATGTCACTTGGTCTAATGTGCCTTCTTTTCTGAAGATGCTTCTTGCTGGGGCAGTAAGAATTGCTGATAAAATAGAATCTGGGAAAACTTCGGTGGTGGTGCATTGCAGCGATGGTTGGGACCGAACAGCCCAGCTGACGTCTCTGGCCATGCTGATGTTGGACAGTTATTATCGTACCATTAAAGGGTTCGAGGCTCTCATAGAAAAGGAGTGGATCAGCTTTGGACATAAGTTTGCACTGGTAAGTTGAGGCTGTGAGGCTCATGCTTACTGTTTTGCCCTGTCATCCGTAGTACGTATCACGCATGCATGCATGCGCAGGCTTTCTGCTCCGTATCGGATCTGAATTGCCATAATAGAATACCATGGACCTCAGCATTGTATGTTCCTGGTAGGGAATTCTGTTTATTTTTTTAGTATAGGTATGCCTTTTGTTTTACTTGAGGTAAAATTCATATAACATAGTATTAAGCATTTTAAAGTACACAGTTCAGTGGCATTTAATACGTTTACAGTGTTGTGCAACCACTACCTCTATCTAGTTCCAAAACATTTGCGTCACCCGGAAAGGAAACCCCATACCTATTGCGGTCACTCCCGTTCCCGCCTCCCCTGGGCCCTGACAACCACTAATCTGCTTTCTGTCTCTATGGATTTGCCTGTCCTGGGTACCTGACATAAGTGGAATCATACGATATTTGCCTTTCTGTGACTGGCTTATTTCACTAAGAATAATGTTTTCAAGCTTCATCCATGTTGTAGCATATATCAATATTTAATTCCGTTTCATGGCTGAATAATATTCCATTGTATGTATATACCACATTTTGTTTATCCATTCATCTGTCGATGGGCTCTTGGGTTGTTTCTACCTGTTGCCTATTGTGAATAGTGCTGCTGGGAACGTTGGTGTATAAGCTTTTGCCACACAAAGTACCACACATTGGGTGGCTTCAACAGCAGAAATTTGCCTCACAGTTTTGGAGGCTGGAAGTCCAAGATCAAGATGTGGCAAGGTTGGTTTCTTCTGAGGCCTCTCTCTTTGACTTGCAGACGGCTGTCTTCTCTCTCTCGTCACGTGGTCTTCCTTCTGTGCAAGTCTGTGCCCACATTTCTTCTTCTTATAAGGACACTAATCAGACTGGATTAGGGCCCACCCTAATGGCCTCATTTGAACTTAATCACCTCATTAAAGGCCCTGTCTCCAAGCACAGTCACATTCTGAGATACTGAGGGTTAGGGCTCCAACGTATGAATGGGGGGGGGGGGCGCCCATTCAGACCATAACAGCCTGCTTTCATATTTGTGTATATACCTAGGAGTGGGATTGCTAGGTCATCTGGTAGGGCATTCTTGGGCTGCCATTTGTGCTTTAGTCCAAATGGCAGCAAATTCCTGGTCTATCTGGGCCATTGAACCATTGGGGATTTGTCTGAACGGTGCATTGGAGTGCAGTTGGAATGCAACTTCAGGAGGCGGAATGCTCCTGAAACCCCATTCACACTCACTAGTGGAAAGCAGGAGGATGGGCAGTGGGAGACCTTCAGCGGCTCCCACCGTCGGGCGCCAAGTGCATGTGGTGTGCCTGCACTCTTGGGGAGGAGAGGGAAGGGCAGGTCCATAGCCTCTGAGCTGCATGCCCTTTGGGAGCTGTTGTCACATCCTTGGACACATCCCTTCACTCTCTGTGCCTTGGTGTCCCTTCTGAAATGGAGTATTGTGCAGGGCTGGAGTAGGGGGCTGGGGAAAGAATGAGTTTATATGTGTCAGGTGCTTAGGACTGTGCCTGGCCCATGCTGTGTGGGTAAGTTTTAGCTCTTCTTATTATGTTAAACATTATCATGACCTCCTTTGTTGCTAACCCTCTCAGCACAGGCTGGGCTCAGTGGGGAGGAGAGAGAGTGTGGAGTCTTGCCTAGTATTTGCACGTGGCCCTCTCTGAAGACTCAGAGGCCATTCTCTTCCACCTTTCCCTCCCAAACTGTGTGTCCTGGGTGAAAAAAAACTAGCAGGGGCCCCTTACTAAAAGGGCAGTGGTAAAGGCCATCTCTTGAGAGGCCAGCAATGGCGGCACACGCCATGCCTCAGGGCATGCCCACAGCACTCTGCTGCTCCAGACCCTATTTACTAACACTGGGGCTCACCAAGGCAGTAAGATCATAAGATTCAAAATCTCCTCAACTTACTGAGTACGACTGTGTGTCTAGCACTGTTACGTGTATCATCTGGTTTAATCCTATAATGATCCTGTGAGGCAGGTACTGTCATTGACAGATGGGGAAACTGATGTTTCAAGAGTGAGGTATCTGCCCAAAGTTACCCAGCTAGTCAGGGTGGAGCCAGCCTTTTAACAGTGGTTTCAAGCCTGCAGCCATCCGCCTGATGGGTCTCTGTACTCTACCTTCCCCGAGTTTCTGTGGATGAGCTGAGTTCCTACCTGAGGCCAATTCCTGTTCTTGCCCACCTGTTCCATCATCTGCCTCTTGGACCTTATCATGGACCACTTTTTAACTGTTTCTGCCTTTGTCCACCTCCATTTTCCCCTCTCTCCTAGATCATTCCTTTTGGTATAGAAACATGCCATTATGCCACCCTAGAAACCAATCTTCTTGACCCCACTTCCCCCTCCAGCTGTCCCTTCAATTTTCTGCTCCCGTTTACAACAAAGCTCCTCAAAACTGCTGCCTGTACTCACTATCACTTTCTCTCCTTCCGGTCTGTCTTGAACCCGCTGCAGCCAGACTTCCTCCTCACAAGACCCCCTCGAAACTGCTCTTGTCACACTTTGCCAAGTCCTTCTCTTACTTGTCCTGAGTATTTGACACTGTTGATTTTTCCCTTCTTCTGGAAACACCTTCTTCACTTGGCTTCTAGGTCTCTACAACCTTTTGAATTTCCTCCTGCCTTCTGCTCCTTGCTCCCTCCGCAACCTCTTAATGTTTTGGTGCCCCAGGGCTCAGTTCTTGGATCGGTTCTCATCTGTGTGCTTGATCCCTGAGTGATCTCAGCCAGTCCCAAGACTTTAAATACACGGATTTCAAATCTGTTGTCTCCTCGCCATTGCCACTGATGCCCCCTTAATTCAGGCCTGGCCATCTCCTGAGGGTCTATCATGGCAGTCTCCTAACTAGCCTCTCTGTCGCCTACACCCTTCCAATCTGTTGTTCCTCACTGCAGCTAGACAGGGTGTTCCAAGAAGCAGATGTGATGCTGCTGCGCCCCAGCGTGAATCCCTCAGAGCCTGCCCATGGCCTAGTGGATTGTGGGCAAACTCCCCAGCATGGCATTCAAGGCCCTTGCTGATCTGGCCCTAGTCCACCTTTCCAGCCTCATCTCACCTCCCTCCTCTTGCATCATCCCCTGAGGCTCAACCGTTTCCAACTACTTCTGGTGTCCCTTGTGCCCCCACCACGTTCCCACTGCTTCAAATATAATATAACCCTGGCTAACCAGGAATCAGGCACTTTCCTGTCCTTCAAGGTTTATCTCAAATGAGACTTCTGCCGTGACTGTGACTTTCCCTCCTCTATCCCATTCTAGGATGGCCATTTGCTCTCTTGTGGCCCCACCATACACCTCTCACACTCAGAAGCCCTTGGAACACTTTAGCGCCCTCATTACTTACACGTCTTTCTCCCACAACTAGACCACAGATGAATTATTCATCGAGCACGGATACTGTGTCTCATTTGTCTTGGTACCCCAGGTGTCTAGCCAGGGCCTGGCCTTTGCTAGACACCATGAAAATGCTGGAAAGCCCAAAGGCCTTGCAAGCGCCATAGGAGTCCAGTGAATATATGCTAAAAGAAAGAATGAATCCCAAATTGTCAGCTGTCAGTATCAAACTGTTCCCTAGTGCCTTGAGGGCCGAGGAGCAGGCTCTGCACATCCCTTATGAGGGAAGTACAGTCTGTGCCATGTGCCGACGTTTCGGTCGATGACGGGCCACATATATGACGGTGGCACCGTAAGAGTAGTACCATGTAGCCTAGGTGTGCAGCAGGCCATACCATCTAGGTTTGCGTAAGTACACTCTATGACATTTGCACAACGATGAAATCCCCTAACGATGCATTTCTTAGAACATGTCCCCATCGATGCATGACTGTGCAGAAATAAGGCAATGCATGCAGCTGCTATGGAAAACAGGGTGGCGGTTCCTCAAGAAATTACAAGTGGAATTATCATATATTCCAGCAATTCTGCTTCTGGGTATATACTCAAATAGATATTTGCGCACCCATGTTCATGGTGGCATGCTTCACAGTAGCCCAAACGTGGAAGCGACCTGTGTCCATCAACAGATGAATGGATAAACAAATTGTGGTACATACATACAATGGAATTATTCAGCCTTAAAAAGGAAGGAAATTCTGACCTGTGCTACCACATGGATGAACCTTGAGGACGTTATGCTAAGTGAAATAAGCCAGTCACAAAAGGGCAAGTATTGTATGATTCCACTTACATGAGGTCCTGGAGCAGTCCAGCTCATGGAGACAGACCCCAGAATGGTGGGTGCCAGGGGCTGGGGGAGCGGATGTGGACTTAGTATTTAATGTGGACACTTTTCAGTTTTGCAAGGTGAAAAAGTTCTGGAGGTGGATGGTGGTGATGGTTGTACAACAGTGTGAGTGTACTTAATGCTGCTGAACTCTATACTTAAAAATGCTTAAAATGGTAAATTTGATGTTATGTATATTTCACCACAATGAAAAATTTTTTTAAAAAGGCAATACAGTGTTACCCTGAGGTTTGATGTTGACCTGGTTATTTCCTTGTTTTTATGTCTTTCCTGGTGGAAATTTCATAGGCCCAGTATTTCTTGCTCTTTCTACATGGTCATCGCGTTGTATCTTCAAAATGTTTTTTTCTCATCCTTTTGCCTAGTCTCAGATTATTTGAAGCATTCTTTTAGAATGCTTACTCTTGAGCTAATTTTTAACTTGACATTTTCAGTGTTTTTGTCAGTCCTGTTTGTGTTTCTAATTATCTTTTACCTTTTATATGAATCTATTAACATCTTCTAAAATATCAAAAGGTATGAAATATCATACTGGGTGTCACTTATCTCAAAACTGGAAAAAAAAGAAATGCAGTACTTGACTGGACTGCCTCGAGCAAGGACTCACCCATTCTCATTTCAAGAGTGAGATTTTGGGGTTCTCCGAGTCACGCAGAATTGGCTAAAACTTGTAGATTGTTAATCATTATTTTGATTCTCAGACTTCTTGACATCTCTGAAAAACGGAAAATCTGTTTGACACTTATGGAGGAAATGGCAGTCACAACATGCCCTGTGAGCTGCTAATTGGCAGTCCCAGTTGCCACTGTGCCCTTGGTATGGTGGCTGGAGTTGACCCCTTCATTTGGACTAAAAAGTTTGCTGGCTGTTTGCTTGTAACTTCTTGAGTCCAGCTATATGAAAGAAAAATTATAAAAATAATCAACAGGTAAATATATAGTACACTGAAGTTTTGTTTCCTGAGAGTGATGGAAGTCAATTCAATTGATGAACATTTTTGAGTGGCACATTATGTGCCAGGAATTCTTTCCAGGCCTTGGGACATACAAAAGAGACATGATTCTTGTTACTAGGCAATTTAAAGTGACTTTTGAGAGGACCATAGCATACATTAAAATGTTTAACCTCTTGTTTCCTTTCAGCGTGTGGGCCATGGCAATGACAACCACGCGGATGCTGACCGATCCCCAATATTTCTTCAGTTTATTGATTGTGTTTGGCAAATGACAAGACAGGTGAGAGATTTCAAGTATATTTCTGACTCACATAGTCTGATTCAAACATATCTTAAAGTTGAAGGTTAGATAAACTTTCATTTCACGTTCATTCAAAATGAACACGTGTGTACGTGTGTAAAATATGACTCTTCTATTATTTCAGTTTGATTCTAATTCACTTAGAATATGAGCAGAAAGTTAGAAACAACCGACTTCACACTAAAAGTTACTTTTCCCGTGCACATTGTTTTGGTCCGTCATCCTGTCCAGCAAGTGTGTAGAACAGGGCCCTGTTCCTTCGTCACTCTGCTTCTCTTACTCCCTTCTGTCAGCAGAAGGAAACCCAGTCGCCTGCTGGGCAGGAAATGGAAGATCCTGCCAGGTGTTAGAAATGGGGATGGGACTGAAGCCCTAGGCCAGCACAGGGCATTAGACCAGGGAATCCAGGAATCTGCACACCCTGCCCCAGGCCACAGCCCCTCCAATCCCAGGGTCTCTGGGAGAAATGAGAGTCCAAGAAGCAACGGCAGACAGGAAGCTGTCAAGTATCCCGTCATGACCTGGTGCTTAGCTTCCAAACCCCAGTGCACAGGGCCCTGGTAAGCCGGGGGCTGTGCAGGAATCTCCTTGCCCAGGCTAGCTGGGCCCAGATGGCTTCAGGTCACAGCAGGCCATGAGGCATGTGCTGTTTTTTCCCCTCATCTCCACCATCCAAACCTGAGTTTGGGGTCTTATCCTCATGGTAGGAGATAGTGCCAGAGAAATGGACCTGGAACCAGAGAGATCCAGAGATAGAGAGAGGGTAAATACGGGGGGGGAGGTGGTGCACAGACGGAGAGAGAGCACAAAAGACAGAGCAGCTTGCCAAGGGCCTGCTGCCCAGCCTGGCTGAGGTCAGGGTTGTGGGGAAGAGAGAGGAGACCGACCCGTGGTCTGGGCTCTCTCCCTCCTGTTGGCCCTGAGCCCTGGCCTTGGCTGATTCAGGCACGTGAAGGGAACCTGATTGATCCTCCTGGCCGCCTTACACCGTCACTCTGGGGCCTTTGCAAAGGACCTCTGCCTCCCCCACGCTGTAGTCTGTGAAACAGCAGCAGCCCAGTCCCCCACCAGGAGCCTCTGTTGCCCATGGGAGTAATGGGTTGGCACATGGAAATGCTTGAGTGACTTCTGATGCTTCTGAAAAGCACCACTTTTGTGGATATGAAGTAGCTTATTCCTCCCAAATGCCTAGATAAATGTGTGTGTGTGTTTAACATCTTCAAACTGACTTCCATTTTTCATTTTGCTTAGTGCCTATTTTCATGTCGTCTATATCGTTTTTATATTGTTTATTGGATTTTAAGAATGAAAAGAAGAGGTTTGATTGGAAGATTTCAGATGCCTCTCACAGCTCTAAGACTCTGAAATGTGTATAATTAATTTCTTTTAAAATACCATTGTTAATGTGTTAGAAGCAGAAACATGAATGATTAGTCTTTAACTATCAATTAAGTCTAAGTGAATGAAATGTAGCTTGTTAGAAAAGATGCATTCATGTAACAAGATTAACTTATTTTTAGGTTGCCTACTGCTAAATCAAGTAAGCTACATCAGTGTAAAGTTGTCAGAAATCTCAGAATAAAATGAACTGTCTGTGTGTACAATTGACGTAAAAAGAGCTAAGGGAAAAAGTAATGGAGGGACTCTTTCTGGAAGGCATTGTACAAACCTGCGGTGTAGCAGGCTACCCTTTGGGATGGCTTTAATTGGCGTCGGTATGTCTGGTCCTCAAGAGGTGCAGAATTTCATTATGGGCTTCTATGGAGTTTTTGAGACCATGCTTTTTAGGTAGATGGTATAGTTTCCAGGAGAAGCAGCCAAAAATGTGAGTCAGAGACTTACTCTTTTGTTTGTATTACTCTAGCTGTTGCCGCTTCCCCTAATGAAATGTTTTCTGAGTTGAACTTAATGGCCCAATGTCCTTTGAATGTGAATAGCAGTCCTGACCCAGTTGGAGTAGATGGAGCCCCCCGTGTCATGGGCCCCGCCCACCTGGACCTCCCATGCCTGGTGCCCACTTGGCCAGGTCCAGAATGCAGGCTTGGGGTTAGGAATGAAGACTCATACGACTTCACAAATATGTCAGTAAAAGCCTTGCTGTCCTGTTAGTAAACATATACTTTTAAATGTTGGAAAATAAAGTGTAGATCTTCCGTTCCTATCCTTGATTTAATAAAGCTTCAATATACATAAATGTTATATATTTGCTTAAATTAGTAAATTTCGTGGTGCCAGTAATTTATGAAATAGGATATAACTAAGCTGCATAGAAAATACTGGGAAAGTGGACATAATGGTCTTGGCCTTTTAAAAGATAGCCATTTGGAATGTGAGATCATTGTTAGAGTCACAAGGGGCAATCTTAAAGGCTTTGAAAGAGGATTCCCCAGTAGCTATCTTTAGCATTTCAGCCGGATTTCATTGATTTAGTTCATCATTGATTTAGTCCATCTAAGAAGAAGAATACTAATAAGAACCACCACAGCTAGTTTCTAGAGGTTTCTGACGAAGTGGTATTGTGCTGGGGCTCTTTAGGAGAGCATTGTGTCTCTGAAAGCAATCCTTAAGGTGGAGATAGAGGCAGACTAAGGTAGCTGAGCAGCATTCTTTAAACTGGATAATTAAAAAGGTAAATTCAGGTGGAGTTTGAACATTCCTGGATTTGGCTTGTTTCTAATTGAGAAGCTTGTCCTTGGTCCAGTAAAATAATAAAGCTAAGCTAAAAAATAAATTTGTCTGTCAGTGATCCTGGTTGTCACTCTAGAGATGACAGGATTAGTCATGATAGTGTGCCAGCATCACTCTGATTGGGGAATAGGTCTTTAAAGTAAACTGACAAAAATACCCTGGGTAGTTTGCTTCATTCAGTAGGTGATGAATATTTTACTATGTTTTTAAGTTAGAATGCTGGCACATGGTAGGCCTCCAGTACATGCTTGCTGCCAGGATCATTACTGTTATTTCCAGGTCATCTCCTCATAGCTACTAAATGCCAGCTACTGGCTAGAACCTCCTGGCAATGGTAAAGTCTTCATTGGAATTCTCCAAAACCCCATTAAGAATGACCTAAAACGACAGTTGGATGATCATGTGATTTTCTTCCTTATTCTGTTAATTGATTTCTGACAGTAATTAATCTTTTTTTATAACATTGATTTTCAAATGTTAAACCAGCCTTGCATTCCTGAGATAAACACCACTTGGTCATGTTGTGTTACCCTTCTTATATATTGTCAAATTCAACTTGCGTATATATTGGTAAGGATTTGGGAATGTATGTTCATGGAGTTGTCTCTGTGGGAAGGTTTTTTATTATGAGTTCTTTCTTTAATAGATAGACTTTCTATTTCTTCTTGAGGCAGCTTTGGTATATGCTGTGCCTGAGAATGCCCCCGCCTTCTCCGTGGCTCAGAAATGTGCCCCCAGGTGGAAAGCTGAGACAATAGTAGGACTTGCCTGATTTGTTTCCCTTCTCTCAGGGGGTCACAGTCCTGGGCTGCCTCTTGCCAATGTCTGAAAACAGTTGTTTCGCATGTTTTGTTCAGCTTTCTAATTGTTTCTGGCAGAAGGGTGAATGTAGGCTCTGCTCTACCATCATGGTGAGAAGTGGGAACTACATAAGTTTTTTAGGCATTGAAGGGTACAACAATTTTTGTTGCTTCCAGTTGTCTCTCAACCAGATCTATATGCTTGAACTTGAAACTAGAGATAGTTAAGTTCTAGATGAGCTCAGTTTTCCTTTTGATCTTTGACTATATTCCAAGTTGCAGTTTAGCTGTCTTTCACAAAAAATTAGTACCACTTTGTTTTAGAAATTGAACTTTAAAACTAAACCTTATTTCTCTCTCCATTTAAGTTTCCTTCAGCATTCGAGTTTAATGAACTATTCTTGATTACAATTTTGGATCACCTTTATAGCTGTCTCTTTGGGACTTTCTTGTGCAACTGTGAAGAGCAGCGAGTCAAAGAGGTAAGTGTCGTGTAGCCTGTCTGTTGCTTCCCAATTGCTCGGACGCCTTTCCCGTTAAGTGCCACTGTAGAAGGGGGACAGAATGGAGAAGGGACTTGGGTCCAGCCTGCTGCCATCTGTAAATGGAGGGGTGGCGCTAGACGCCCTCCCAGGGTTCCCCAGCCCCAGAGCATGTGTCTAATCTGCCAGGTTGTCTGATACAAGCCCCTTACTTTATGGACATTGGGGGCTGGGACCCAGCGAGCCCACAGCTCTCTGGGGTCTCTAAGGTCTCTAGGGTCAGTACTAGACTCTGGACCCCCTAAACTCCAAGCTCACATACTTTCCACTGCACTGACTCCGAAATGATACGGTTCTGCTTGGCATTCTCTGCAGTTGGACTGAAGGGTACTTGGAGACCTTAGATAATGAAGTCTATAGAGGAGCCCAAAACATCCATGTAGGTAGCAAGCTAAACTTTCCTTTCCGTCAACCCAGTAAAGCAGCAGCTACCAAGCTTTTCAGAGTTACATTTCACCTTTTTGTTTTTCTCCTCATTTTGGGATAAAAGAATGAAGAAAAGTGAGGAAGCATTGGGAAAAGGCAGCTTAAAGAGGATCCTCTGGTTAACAGAAAAGGACTACCGCCTGTGGGCTAAGTGTATGAGAACATCAGAGAATTGAGGGGAAAACAGGAGGCCCCGAGCGCCCACCTCCCTCTCTCTGAGCAGCCTCCAGAGCTGACCACCCCCTCACTCCGTGCCCGCCTCCCTTCTGGCGCCCCCGCGCCCCTGGCCCCGCCCACTCAGTCTCCTCCTTCGAAGCCATTCATCTCTAACCCAGGCCTGGGTTCTTTTCCCACCCCAAACTCTGTTCTTTTTCTAGGTGACTTCCTCATTCTCAGGGACCTAAGTTCCCCTGCCCCTCCCCTGCTCTCTCTCACCTCAATAATGGCACCTCTGCCCATCGAGATTGTGAGGCCAAATACATAGGGGCCGTCTTCAGTTCTTCCCTCGCCCTCACGTCCAGTCCATCAGCGAGAACTGCTGGCCCCGTCCCCCAGATAGACTTAATCTGGCCACTTCTCACTGCTTTACAGCTACAAGGCCAAGTCAGGCCCCCACCATCTCGCCTCTGGACTAAGGCAGCTGCCCGGGAACGGGCTTCCCTGCCTCCATTTCTGACCTCCAGAACACTCTAAACCAGCAATCAGGGCAGCGTTCCCGAGCTTCAGTCCCGTCATGTGCCTGTCCCCTGCTTGAAACCTCCCTGTGGCTTCCCATTGTGATCAGGAGAAAATCCACTTTCTTCAGGCCCCGCGTGATGGGCTTCTGTGAACCTCATAATAAAAAGAAAAAAACATTTTAAAGAGTGAATCTTCTGATGTGACTTATATCTCAATAAAGCCGTTTAAAAAACACTCGGCAACAGAAGAATGAACTTCATATGTAGAATTTAAACAGTTATAGTTTTTATCTTTTTTTTCCAAAATGTACTTTTTAAAAAAAAATCAGCTCTCTCCAGATATAATTTATATACCATACAATTCGCCCTTTTAAAGTGTATAGTTCAATGGTTTTTAGTATATTCAGAGTGTACAACCATCACCACTATTTAATTTAATATAATTTTCATCACCTCAAAAAGAAACCCCATACCCATTAGCAGTCACTCCCCGTTCTCCCCTCCCCCCAGCCCTGGCATGTAATTTACTTTGCGTCTCTATGGATTTGCCTATTCTGAACATTTCTTATAAATGGAATTATACATATTTGTCCTCTTGCAATTGGCTTATTTCGCTAAGTATGTTGTTTTCAGGGTTCCTCCATGTTGCAGCCGGTACCAGTTCTTCATGCCTTTTCCTGGCTGAGTGCTATTCCAGCGTGTGGCTAGACCGCATTTTGTTTATATAGTCATTAGCAGACGGACATTTGGGTTGTTCCCACTTGGGCTGTTACACATAAAGCTGCTATGAACATTCGCATACAAGTTTTCTGTGGGCATATGCATTCATGTTTGGGGGGCAGATACCTGGGAGTGGACTTGCTGGGTCCTATGGCGACTCTGGGTTTAACCTTTTGAGGACCAGCCAGACTGTCTTCCAAAGCGGCTGCACCATTTTACCTTCCCACCAGCATCGTCCGAGGGCCCGTTTTCTCCACATCCTTGCAGGCGCTTGTTACTGAGCGTCTTGATTCTAGCCATCCCGGTGGGTGTGACGTGGGAGCTCGTTGTGGTTTTGATGTGCATTTCCCTGATGACTAATGATGCTGAGCATCTTCTCATGTGCTTATTAGCCATCTGTGTATTTTCTGTGGACAAATGTTTATTGAGATCCTTTGCTCATTTTTAATTGGATTGTCTTTTTATTATTGAATTATAAGAGTTCCTTATGTATTCTTTATAGATACAAGTCCCTTATCAGATATGATTTGCAAACATTTTCTCTCATTCTGTGGGTTGTCTTTTCACTTTTTTGATGGTGTCATTTGAAGCACATAAGTTTTTAATTTTGATGAAGTCCAATTTATCCGTTTTTTCTTTTGTTGTTATGCTTTTGGTGTCATATCTAAGAAACCACTGCCGGGGCCGGCCCAGTGGCACAGCGGTTAAGTTCGCACATTCCACTTCGGTAGCCCGGGGTTCACCGGCTCAGATCCTGGGTGCAGACATGGCACCACTTGGCACGCCATGCTGTGGTAGGCGTCCCACATATAAAGTAGAGGAAGATGGGCACGGATCTTAGCTCAGGGCCAGACTTCCTCAGCACAAAGAGGAGGATTGGCAGCAGATGTTAGCTCAGGGCTAATCTTCCTCAAAAAAAAAAAAAAAAAGAAGAAAAAAAACATTGCCTAACCCAGGATCATGAGGATTTGAACCTGTGTTTTCTTCTAAGTGTTTTATAGTTTTAGCTAATTTTTTTTAAGTATACTTTTTGGTGGGGAAGATTGGCCCTGAGCATTAACATCTGTTGCCAATCTTCCTCTTTTTTCCTTTCTCCCCAAAGCGCCAGTACATAGCTGTATATCCTAGTTGTGGGTCATTCTAGCTCTTCTATGTGGGATGCTGCCACAGCATGGCTTGATGAGTGGTGCGTAGGTCCACCCCCAGGATCTGAACTGGTGAACCCCAGGTCGCCGAAGAGAAGCGCATGATCTTAACCACTCGGCCATGGGACCAGCCCCTAGTTTTAGCTCTTACGTTTAGAACTATGATCCATTTTGAGTTATTTTTTGTATGTGGTGTGAGGTAAGGGTCCAACTTTATTCTTTTGCTTGTAGCTATGCAGTTGTCCCAGCACCATTTGTTGAAAAGACTGTCTTTCCCCCTTGAATTTTCTTGTCACCCATGTTGAAAGTCGGTTGACTGTAAATGTGGGGGTTTGTTTCTGTATGCTGTGTACTGTTGCACTGATCTACATGTCTCTCCACCCTATGCCAGTAGCACCTGTATTGATTACTGTAGTAAGTTTTGAAATTGGGAAGTATGAGAACTCCACATTTGTTCTCCTTTTCAAGATTGTTTTGGCTATTCAGGGTCCCTTGAATTATTGCTGGTGTTTCTCTTATAAGTACAAAATATGAAATATGAAAAGGTCCTAGTGGAAGTTTCCGTGTCTAGATAGCTTGTGAGGAGGTCAGCTGGCTTGGGAGCAGCAGAATGGTAGAAAACACTCCTGGCCTCTCCATTGTCTCATTTTGACTTTGTCACTGTACTTGCTGCATGTTTACTGTTTATCTGCCCCACCATGCCTGTGGATTTGGGTGTTTTCATTCAGCTGAGTAAACCGATTAGTTACAGCATTTCTAAATGGTGTACTGTAAAATTGGGAGGTGGGGAGATATAATTTAATGGTATATTTACTTCTCTCTATAAGGCTTCTCCAGTCTGCCACCCTGGCATGTTTTTCTCCAGGGAGCCGTGATTTCCAGTGAAAGGAATCTTATCTGTAAATTCTACCCACAGTGCCCAGTATTGAGTCACAAAAACAAACTGCAAACCAGAATAAAAAATGTATTTGTTATTGACGGGCCCCATCATCCTGTGGTTGTTAGAAAGTTCTCGTTCTGCCTCACACAGACATAGTCACCAAATGTTACCTAACTCAGCAATATGTTTTTCCAGGACAGCAACCGGTGTGCGTGCTCACTGCATGCTCATGCCATCCCCAGCATGAGGCGCTGCATGGGGAGGGGGGTCGGGCTTAGTAAATGCCCCTGAATTTTTCAGGGTTGGAACTCACTTCATCATGCAAGTCCTTTTCTCTATGTAATACAAATTCTTAAGGATATGAAGAAAAGTTGAATTTATTTCAATGTGTTCTTTTTTTGTTTTTCAGGATGTATATACAAAGACTATATCTTTATGGTCTTATATCAATAGCCAGCTCGATGAATTTTCTAATCCCTTCTTTGTGAATTATGAAAACCACGTCTTATATCCTGTTGCTAGTCTGAGTCATTTGGAATTGTGGGTAAACTATTATGTGCGATGGAATCCACGAATGAGGCCTCAGGTATCTTTTTGTTTTTCTTCTTTTCACAAGAGCATGTCTTTCTGTCCGGGTAAAGATGATACTGTAGAAATGTGCGTATGCTAGGTATTGATGTCTCCTGAAGGTCCTGCGCCCTCGCCTTGCAGGGGTCCATCCTTTTCGTCCCTGTCCAGCAGGGCTCTTCCACACACCAGCCCAGATGCTGTTTGCTGGGTTAGAGTTAAAACTCTTAGCACCTCCCTCTTATACTGCTTGAGAGAACATCGATGCAGTAATACTGGTTACCACATCTGACTCTCAGTCTTTCCGGTGACTTGACTCAGAGGTGCGCGGTGGGCAGTACTGATTCTGCAGGGCACCGCACTCGGGGGCAGGGAAGGGCGTTTGGGAAATGCCTCGCGGTTACAGCTTGTAGACTGGTAGCACAGCAGAAAGAAGGTACGTCCTAAGTCACAGAGCAGACCGATGGAGGCAGCCCTCCCCTCTGTGGACAGATAGCTTCTGCTGAGGGTTTTTAAGTTTCATATTCTTAGTTCATGGCAGTCCACCAAGGAGCACGTTTGCACGGCCCAGTTTCACATCACTGCTTCTGTTGACCACGGGTGCACACGTCTCCCTGTCCCCAGCCCTCCTCCTTCTCAGTCCTTCCCTCTCGCCCAGCATCGTACAGTCTCTCCAGGCATTTTCAGCTCAGTCTTAGTTTGCTATGCTCCCAAACAGAGTACCACAGACTGGGAGACTTAGACACAGACATTTGTTGTCCCCCAGCTCGAGGCGGGGAGTCTGAGATCAAGGTGTGGGCAGGGTTGCTTCCTTCTGAGGGCTGTGAGGGAAGGGTCTGCGCCAGGCCTCTCCTCGGCTTGTCGGTGGCCTTCTCCCTACGTCTCTTCATATCATCTTCCCTTTATGCGTGTCTCTGTGTCCAAATTTTCCTTTTTTTATAGGGATACCATTTGTACTGGATTAGGGCACACCCTATGATCTCATTTTAGCTTGATCACCTCTGTACAGATCCTGTCTCCAAATACAGTCACATTCTGAGGTCCTGGGGGGTAGGACTCCAACATATGAATTTTGGGGAGACAAAATTCAGCCCCTAACACTCCCCAAGCCCCACTAACCACGGGGAAGACTAAACTGTTCATTTCCCTTTTCAGTTCCCTGGCTCTTGAACTTCAGAGGTGCAGTCACGTCACTAACCTTCTCTCCCCGCTGGAAAAGTCCCTCGTAGCAGACGGAGCTCCAGGCTCCGCCTGACAGGTGCAGGCTGCTGCCCAAGGCCCCGCTTATCATCTCCTGCCCAGCTCCTTTGCTCTCCCACACCAGAGCCCCAGCTGCTCATCACTTGCCTCCTCTTTCCCTGACTCTGTTTCCTGATTCATTCCATTTGTTTCACACAGCTTCAGCTACAAAAGCTCTTTCCTCTTCTAGACCCTCTGAGTTGGCCATGCCACCCCCAGGGCTGTTTTCCAGAACGCCATGATCAGGGCCTGCTCAGCCCAGTACTTGGCCTTCTCTCCAAGCAGGCCGCAGAACCAGGCCTCACGGTCCCCTGCGCCTGCGTCTCTGCCTTCCTCTCTCCTTCTCCCGGGCTGATGGATTCCATGTCCCACAGTTGGCTCCTCAAACCACTGACTCCGGAAACACTTGCCCTGTGCTCTGCCTCTCACCGGGCCAATAGCTGGTGCTCTGAGAACTTTCTTTAGGAAACCTTCCCTGACCGGAAACCCCTCCATTTAGTCTCTGAGGGCCCAGCTTCTGTTATCATGTAACATGCAAATTTCTAATGTGTTGCCAAGGGGCTGCTAGCTGGCTCCTCTGTTACGACAGCATGGGGCAGCAAGGGTGGTGAGCACTTCCACACTGGGCCAAGTGCACTGACATGAGGGCCTGTAGTGCTGAGACGGCCAGAGTGCATTTCCAGTACCAAATGGGTTCTGGGTTTAGCGTGGGTTCTGAGGAGCGGAAATGCTAACTTCTCAGAGTCGTAAAACGTTTCTTTACTGAAGAGCATCTAAAGCTGGAGAGGCGCAGTCTCGGCTCTTTTCCCCATGAAAACAAACAGTATACAGTCAGTCCCATGTTGTGGTCAGTCGTCAGTGTTTTAAATACAGGGGTCCAGTTTGGTTTGTGGCCGGTGAGCCCTTGGTAACTAGGATCAGCTGTTCTGTGCTGGTGCCCATATTGAAGAGCCTCCAGCGTTAGCTCTGTGGCACCTGCAGAGCGCCGTGGAGTCAGCTGTCAAGCGGCCATGGCCTCCAGGAAGCCTCCTCACAAGCGTGGCCCCCAAACCCTCTCCCTTCCCTCTTCCGAGTGAGCCACGCCTCGTGCGCCGCCTCCTCTGCAGGGGAAAGCGGGGAGCCTGCTGGCTCTCCAGGGCTCCCGCAGCCTCCTCGGGGCCTGAGCCCCACTGCAGGGAGGCAGCGGAGGCCCAGCAGATCTAGAAATGTCCATTCCCGAGTCATGTGGCCCAACTTGGTCACACAACAGCCTGAGGGGCACAGGGCTGGCCTGCACGTCCCTCTTTCCCCCACTAAAAGTGGCTGTCCTTGTGCTGAGAAGCTTCCAGGTGAAGGGAGTTGACAGCAAAGGGAGTGTGGTCAGTTCCTGTCCCCTCCACAGACAAGGCAGGGAAGAGGACAGCACCTGAAGAGCCTGTCCTGCACTCCCGGCTCCTAGGTCCCCTAGTCTGAACTAACCTGCCTTTTGGGTCTTCAATTAGTATTTGTCTGATCGCCTCCTCCAGCCCTTGCCAGAGTCTGCCTGGGACCAGAGACTCGCGTTTGTGGCCCCTCCCCACTAGGGGGCTCTGATCGGCAGGAACTGGATCCTCTCTCCTTCCAGTGCCCGCTGCCCCTCCTCCCCTCGTGCTTTCCTTCCTCCCTTGCGCGTGCGCTTCCCTGCTCACCCAGTGTTGGGGGGACCATAGGTTACCACCCAGACCAGCACACTTTGGGAAGGAGGGGTCTCCCCCAGGCACGATACCACCTCATGTTTCCCTGCCCGCCGCCCTATAGACCATGAGCCCGAAACTGCACGGGCCACACCTGGCCTAGTCGTGTGTCCTCTGCACCGAGTGTGGTGTTTGGTGCTTAATGGGCAACTCCAGAAATGTGGCCAGTGAATGACTCAGTGAATGAGGGAAGCGGCGCCCTCCTGGTCCAGGCTGACTCCTCTTACACATCTGCTCTCTCCAGGCCCTCAAGCCTTCCCTGATGCCCTCTGCCTCCTGCAGTTCTTGCCACTCAGCCTGCAACAACTCAAGTGTGCCCTTGCTAATCCTTTCTTGTCTCCCCCTGCCTCCCCTTCAAGCCTCCCGTCCACACCCCTGACCTCCGGGCTCTTGGACCAGCCTGTCTAGTCTCCCTGCCTCGGTCTCTCTCCGGTCTGTGCTCCAGCCTGCTGCCAGAGAGGCCTGGCTCTCCCCACCGAAGTCACAGCTCAGGCATCACTGCCCGTGGCCACCTGATGGCTCCAGCTCCCCACGCCCTCCACGCCCCTGGCCCCCACTGTGCCCTCAGCTGAGCTCCCAGATTACGTTCCCCAGGCTGCAGGGACAATTTATTTATTTGCCTCTCTCTCACCTTAGACCTTGCACTCTGCAAAAGCAGGCCCCTGACACAGCAAGTGCTCGTTACTAGATTGAACTGTCCCCATAATGAGAGTTGTGTTTGAGGGAGCACTGTCTCTGAAATGGCCCGTGTGCCCAGAAACATCAGCGAGCCAAAGAGGTCGCCAGCCCTGTCAGCAGCCTCTGTCGTGGCTTTCGGCCAAGGGAGTCTGAGTGCGGCGCAGACCGCTCCCATTTCACAGGAGCCCCCATTCCAGGGCCACGCTCCTTTCCCACCTCCCTGCTTTGTTTTCGAATGTGAAGCCCGGGGGCCTCTTGAGCATTTCTTTCCAGTCACTAGAGACAACTGTACTCAGGAACCAAAGCCAGCACGCGCCTTCCAGCAGCTTCCTCCTAACTGCTGTGTATTTCTGTCCTCCTCGGGCACTGCGCTGAATTCTTCTTTCCTGGGCGGTTCCGATTCGTCTGTTATAGCAACAAGGAAGATGGGCTGGAAAGTCTCTCCTTTATTTAAATCAGTGCGGAGAGTTTCCACACAGTACTCTGGGTGACTCAAGGGACAGGCGGTCAGTGGGATTTCTTGAACGGTAGCGGGAAGCCCCGCAGAACTACTGCTTGAACTGAAGTGCCTTTGGCTGCCCTGGGCTTCTGGGTTACTGCAGGAGAGGCCTGATGGGAAGCAGCGCTGCTGGGCAGGGGCGTGTCCTCTGCGGCTGAGCTCTGCCTAGCGCCGCGCTAGCTCCCTCTGCCGGCGCTAGAGGCCTGGCCCTGTGCTTGACTGTCAATCTGGCGAGGGCAGGGCCCAGATCTTTCTTAAAACCTGCAAACCACAGGATGCGTCTCTCCTCGAATGCGCTCAGATTCTTACACGTGTAAGCAGAGTCAGCTTCTTTGTGATGGCCATGCCGATAAGGGTAACTGTGACCATGGCCGCTGCAAGTTGAGGGCCTCTGGGTGCTGTGCATGTGGGACTGCGTTTAGCACTCACGCCGATCCTGTGATGCAGAGGGAAGGGCCAGAGGAGCTGTCCTCGCCAAGCTCTTGCTACTGGCACGTGTGGTCACCAAAGGAAAGGCTGTCCCCAGGCTAGGGCCAAGCCCTGTCTCTGGCAGTGACACCTGTCTCTGGTGGTGACTTGACGCCTGATGAGAGGCAAGGTCCCGGGCCTCACTGAGACTTCGCAGGGGCACAAGTGTGAAATGAGTCCCTACAAAGCGCTGGCACGGTGCTCGGAGGGGGTTAGGTGGGTGGCCCAGTGTTCTGCATTCTCCCTGCCCTGTGCTGCACAGAAGGGAGAACTAGAGGCGGTCCTTGGGTCACAGCTCTTTATTCCAAACGCTACAAGCACGTGTTGGCCACGCCCTAGGGGCCGGGCACACAGAGACTGTAGGGGAGCAGGTTGGGTCTTGGTGATGTCAGAGGCCAGAGAAGTAGGTGGGCCCAGGCCGCAGAGGGCCTTGGGAAGCATCTCTGGGAGTTTGGACTTTATTCTAGGGGCTGTGGGAGCCACCACAGGGTTTGCAGGGCAAGGCCTGGTATATGTTCTGGAAAGCTCACTCCAGCAGCACTAGGGGTACAGGAATGTGGAAGGGGCAGTGAAGACTGCGGCAGAGGGATCAGCAAGAAGTCTGCGGTGGGTGTCCAGCGCCAGGGGACAGGAAGCCAGGCCAGGCAGAGAGAAGGGGGGAAAGGGGAGGAAAGGCAGAGGGCACAAGCCTGTTGGGCCTCTATTCTCAGAGAAGGGAGGGGGCTGGGCTAGCTGCCTGGAGGGGGGCTCCTGGGCATCCATCAAAGGATGGCTAGGTGGAGGGCCTGGCAGCCATCTTGTTTCCTTTGAGACCCTGTGGGCTTGTGTCTCACACGCTAACACCCACTGGGTGCCTGGCCCTTAGAGGAGCATTTTCTTGAAGCAGCATGCCTTTGACTTATTGTAAATGAAGATGACACATGAGAAAAAACACGATAGGCCACATGGAGATGTAAGAAGAGAGCCTCGGGCCCTGGGTGTGTGTGGCTGTGCTTTTCTGCCGCGGGTGTGGGGCTTCCTAACAGCAGCTTGACTGCAAAGCATTCTGTTGTCTGACCGGAATCAAATGGTCGTGCAAACCAGAAAACACCAAATAGGTCCTGAGGCCAAGACGGGAGCTGTCGCCCACCTCACAGTGCCCTCTAGGCTCAGCAGCAGATAAGGGTAACTCCTTGTTTTGGGGGGCCTTTGCCATCAGTCTCCCATGTTGCTGTCCCCTCCCTTCTTCCTGTGGCCTGCCCAAATCAGGAGTGTGTTCTTTGCTTCTCCAGTGCTAGTTCCTGAGCCCCCTGCCATGCTGGAGGCCCCTGGCTGCCCTCTGTTTCTCTGTCACCCTCCCCACTCTCCTCTCCTCTCTCGCCAGGGCCATCGCTCTCATCTCTGTCTCTCTCTCATCTCTGTCTTCCCCTCCTTCCCTCCAGTTGGGCTGATCCCCATTGGCACCCCCGATGGAACAGCTTAGTCTTTGGGGAGGTGGATGACAAAACAAATGGAGTCCAGAAGGCCCCCCACCCAGAGCAAGGGCTCTTTGTGCTGGTCGCGGTGGGATGAAGCGAGTGTGTGGGTGAAAAGGGTGGGGGGAGAGTACCCCAGGCAGAAGGGACAGCACAGGTGTGGCATCTTCCAAAACCTGGAAGATTCTGCAATGCAGGAAGGTAGCAGAGGCAGGACCTGGTGAGACGTGAGCAGGAGAGGCAGGCTGGGGTCAGACCTCACCAGGCCTCGAGGCGAAGATCAGACCGTTACCCTCAGGGCAGCAGGAAGCAGCCACAGGACGGTGGGGAGTGAGCATCACATGGCCTGGCTGCGGCTTTGGACCCAGGCCTGTGGCTGTGTCCTGATGTCCTCACTGCATGGGGGACAAGGAGTGGCAGGGGGAGCTCCCCAGACCCCACCCTGTGCCTCCTTTGCTCACCAGCTGGTCACCCCTTCCCTTGCCTGCCTCCCCCCAGCCCGAGCAAGTACGCTATGAGGGGAAAGGAAAGCCAGGTCTCGGGTCTCTGGGCCCCAGCAGGTGCTGTGGGGGTGGGTGCTGTGACCCAGGTAGTCAGACTGGGTACCACGTGCCCCAGCAAAGTCCTGCTCATTTCTTCCTGGCCCACCCCCCAGCAACGGGCTTGAGAGAGAGAGGTCAGTGGGCTGAGGCCTTGCTGTGGCCCTGGTGCTGCTGAGTGGAAGCTTCGAGAGGAAGGCCCACCTTCTTCCCTGGGTGGGGGGTAAGGCACCGGGCCCCCAGGGGCTCCCCCTCCTGGGGCACTGCCCTCTCCAGGGGCTTCTGCTGGCTCCTGTTCTGACTGATGAAAACAACTTCAAGTTGCAGAAAGTGCTGATTTCACAGAATTAGTCAGCAGAGCTATTTATAAAACTGCAAGAGTGCTGCGGTAAGGGGGAGGCGTGGGGGCGACACGTAGACACTGTGTGGGGGGCGGTTTCACCTGAACCTGCTTGTCTCCTCTGGGACCTTGGCCAAGCCCGGAAGGAGAGCAGTGACGAAGCCCTTCCCACCGTGTCAGCTGGAGCCCGCAGCTTGTGGGGAGGGCACCCGTGCACACTTGGGGACAGATTGGGCCATGACCGGGGAGCCTCTGGACGCCCGCGGCATACTGGTTGGGCCCTAATGGGGAGGCGAGCAGCATCGGGCTGTCGGCGCGGGGGGCTTGGTGGCCGCTGACGGCTGTGTGTACCCACAGATGCCCATCCACCAGACCCTCAAGGAGCTGCTGGCCGTCCGCGCGGAGCTGCAGAAGAGGGTGGAGGACCTGCAGCGGGAGGTGGCCACGCGTGCCTCGTCCTCGTCCGAGCGGGGCTCCTCGCCGTCCCACTCGGTCACCCCCGTCCACACCTCGGTCTGACGGGCCGGAGGCGGCCGTTCCGGCAAGTCCAGCGTCCAGGACAGCCTGCTGCTCCGCTGCCCTCACCAGTGGCTCAGCAAGGGACCTGCCACCCCTCCTGGCTGTAGCTTGTGTCTTGTCTTTTAGGATTACGCCCTGTGCCCTCTGTGTCTGGATGGTACTTCCAACCAGTGCCCATTTGTGTGGCTTGGTGACAGCTCCTACTGTCGTCAAGTGCTTTTTGTGAGCCCCCATTTCCCTCCTGTTGGGGGTTTCTCAGGGTGGCCATCTGTCACATGGACCCTGAGAGCTGACTTCCTATCGTCCGGGCAGCTCGGGAGAAACTAGAGGGCCCGGGTGCGGTGCTTGGGTTGAGGAGGTCCCCGACCACTTCCCCAGGGCAGCCCTCCTGGCCACGCCATTCACTAGAGCCCACGCTGCCAGCCACGTGGTTCCGCCAGCGCTTTGCTACAACTTAAGCTCACAATTCGCCATCTGCGGGGAGAAGACAGCACAGCGCCCTCGAGCCTACAGTTCTCCTCACGCAGGGGCGCCCCGTTCCATTACTGTCGTGTACATACAGGTATTTTTACAGAGAGAAACAGGCCTTTATTTTCCTACGTCCTTCCGTGCGTCTAGACTCGTCACCCGAGGAGGGATCTGCCTGACGGGACGGCATGAGAACGGCCTGGCGAACCAGGTCCATGCTCACTGTTCCGTGCACGCGTGAACCACGTTTGATGTGGGCATTGAGATGGCAGTGTGTTCTGTCCTCGCCCGACTCTGGGACTTGCCTCCTGAGGGCACCCGGGCCACAGATGGCAATAGCACGGTTCCCTCCAGATGCCATGGCCGAGGCACACTCCTCCTCCCCCCGCCCTGCTGAGGGGAAACTGAGGACTCAGGCAGCTCTGTGCCGGCACGGGCCGACCTCACGGCCCCTTCTCTCCTGCGGCCGGCGTCTGCATCAGGGCGAGTCTGCCCCCACCTGCTCTCTGCCGGTCGGAAATACTGTTTCCCGTTTGATCGAGATCCCTCAGCCCGGTTTATTCCTGCGACTGCATGTCCATATTTTCAAGCACCCACAGTGCCGTGGCTTCCGTTGCCAAAAGCCCAGCCCGCACGTCCCTCGGTCTCCTGTCTCAGGGCCGACCTCAAGCCAGTCGGGCCTCTCCTCTGGGTTTTGCCTCCCTCACTCATGGACCCCCAGCCTCCAGCAGCCCGGGCAGGAATTAAGGGGCGATCCCCGGGTCCGTCCACCAGTGCTGTAGCTCTGAGCTCCTCTGTGTGGCCTGTGACAGGTCGACTGGGGGCACGTTTGCGCCCCCACCGCCAGCAGGCCACACCCTCCCCCTCCACCTGTCATGCGTGCCAGGCAGTCACTGGGACCGTGGCTGCAGGAGTGCAGCCCGCCTTCAGCATCAGGGGCCTCAGGAGCTCCCGGGTCAGACCCGACAACAGCCGCACCTCGACACTGGGGGCGTCGAATCACGGGATGCCCGCAAAGTCCTACATCCTGACATTATTTTTGAAAATGTATTCTTAAAGGTTTTATACAGTCAAACACTTAGAGAATAGATGATTTTTCAACTTGGAACCTTCTGATTCTTACAGAAAACCTGATATCCATAAGGTATCAGAAATGTTTATTCAAGGTAATTTGATAACCTAAAATCAATTCTCCATGTTTATCGTTTAGGGGATGTTTCTAAATCGCAGTTTAATTGATGTTAGCTTTTGATTTATGCTCCCAACATATCTGACACCTTATTTATGAATGGATAAACTGGATTATTGATATACTAACTTTTTAAAATGGGGACATTTCTTCCAGAAATATCATTTAATCCCCCAGCTACACTAGGCTGATTAAACTTGGTGTGGCCTGAATGATGCTTCTAACAAAACCAGAGAAGCAAAGTGGCTTGTTCTTGCTGGGGGCAACTAGCCTGGCGCTGGGGGCGGCGAGCTGGCGCCCGGCCTGGCCCTGCCCCGCGCTGGGCCCCAGGAGGACCCCTAGGGACACCCATTCAATTTGAAAGCAGCACAACGGATCATTTTCCTTTGTGTGTTCCTAGCACAAAACTCTTTCTAAAACAACTTGAAGTATAGTTTTGTTACCTAAGCAATTCTTTTTTTCGGTTTTATTTAAGTATAGTATGTAAAATGTTTATGGTTCCGATTTTTAAACCTGGCACAGTATTGTATTTGCCTCATCTGATGCACTGTATTCCATCTGTAATTAAAATGATAATATGTTTGCTCTGTGGTCTCATTTTTTGTTGCCTTTTTTTAAAAGTATTTCAGTAGAATTTTCCCTTGGGAAAGTTAGTAACAGTGAACATTCTGTACCTTCTGTGCCAAGTCCAGTTAATATATATAAAGTGCCTTTATGTGACTTCATTTGTTTACTAAATCATAAGTGCAAATGGTCAAGTCTTGAGTGGCTGAAATGGGTAAGTACTCTGATTTTAAAATCTAAAATGCCCCTTGACCTTAACCTTGAGTAAATGATGAGGACGCACTGGGGACACTTGAGAGTGAGAGTCGGGTGCAATGTCACCTGGGGTGGACTTCTGAGAGGCCCCCCCCCCGCCCCAAGTCTGAGGAGGAGCACTGGCCTTGCTGGGGCTGTAGAGGCCACAGGGACCCACATGCCCCCATGAGCCACTCTTCTAAGGACCTGGGGTCCCTTCCCTCTCCATGCAGCAGTCACTGTCACTGTAGTCCCCAGCAGTGACACCACCCAGCAAGGCTGACAGGGCCACTGCGCCAGACCCGAGCTGACCGTGCAGCATGTCTGCACAGAGAGTCCCGTGGTGGGTTGGGGTTTGAGGACTTGCTATTTTGCTAGAAGGCTCGTACGGCACCAAAATGTACCCACGTCAATGTAAAAACTCACCCAGGGGCCACGGCATCTTGCTCATGCTGAAACGTCCAGCTGCCTTTTCAGTTTGCAAGCCAAACCATGAGGTGATGGCAAGGGCACGTTTTACCCCAAACAGCCCCCGTGTACACGGCCGCAGTGAGTGCCGGGGGCAGAGGCCCCCATCCCTGCTCGGCTGTCTCTGGCTGAAACACCCGCACATAATGAGTCTCTCCCAGGCACCGGCTTTCTCGGAAGAAGGGAGAACAGCGGCGGGGGGGGGGGGGGGGGCGGGGGAGTTGGTCACGAGTTTGGAGACCACCTCTGCCCCTCCCTGGTCCTGTCACTGCATCTCCAGGCCTTAGCTCCTTGTACCCGGATAAGAGCCATGCCCTGGAAGCCCCGACTCTAAGCCCTTCATCAAGAGGGTAAGTGCAAGAACTCTAACCTTGTGAGAAGGACCTTTGGCAGGGGGAGGGGAGTGAGGTCGGCTCCACATCGTAAGTTACTTTAAGAAAAAACCATTACTTGACAAAGGAAGTGCCTTCACACCGCAGAATGCAATGACCAGTCAGGTTCCATTTTGTTTAATACACACACGACAGTTCACAATTCACACTTACACAGAAGCGCGTCAAAAGTCCAGGGACTCTGAGGTGGGTCTCCATTTCTCCTTCCTCAGAGGGCTGGCACTGACCCCCAACTGAAGTGGCCAAGGCAGCGGGCTTGGCACTGCTCTGTGGGTCCCACACCAGGAGGGTGCCCTGCCCCACGCCTCCTCCCTGCCTCTGCTGAGTGGATCTTGTAGACACCCACCCCCCTGCCCCCCAGTGAAGCTGATAGACACAGGAGAGTGTCAATGGGCCCTTCTAGGTCACTGGCATCACACCCCGTGGGACAGGCCCAGCTGGCCAAACACAACGCTCAGAGAGACCCACAGTTACCAGAGCCCCCAGGCTTCTGCAGGTGTCAGTCCCCTCCCCCCCCCACCAGCCTCCTCCAAGAACTCCCCCGGGGGCTGAGTGCCCCACCTGGGGTGGCCAGTCCCTGGGAGCAGGCCTGGCTGCCAGGCTGGCCAAGGACCAGCAAACCAGGCCCCTCCGACCACAGGCAGGAGGACACGCAAACCAGGTCCCCCCAGACCCACAGGCAGGGCGCCAGGCAGCCGACTCGCCTGCACGGCGGCAGGGTCCTTGGGCTCCACCACCACACGGGCCTCACTGCAGAGCTGAGGGGCAGGGGCCCAGCCTCCCGGGGCAGAAGCCCGACAGCTCTAGGGCCCGCACCACACCTGGCCATGCCAAGGGACACATGGGCCACATCACTCTGCATCCTAGTCACCACCATGACTCTGATTTCTCTGTAAATGGCCAACCTTCCCAGTGGCAGGGAGAGAAGTATTTTAGCACACACAAGTGCTGCCTCCTGTTTCTTCCTTTAAAATGCCTTGGGCACCTTGGCGAGCCACCCCCCTAACACGACGAGCTGCTGAGCACTGCCCTGGTCCCTGCCCAACTCTCCATACTTAGGACACTGGCCGTCCCTGAACCCTGAGGTCACGAGACCTAGGTGGCAACAGGCCATGGGTGCAAAAAGTTTCCCCAGCTGCCTCCAGCCCAGCACCGGCCAGGGGGTGCAGCTCTCAGCCCTTGCCGTCCTCTGGAGGGACAAGCCTGGCAAAGCTGACAACCACCTGGCCCACAACGAGGGTGGGGCAGCGCTGGGAGCAGCGAACCTTGCATGCGGCGCCTCTCCTGCTCATTCATTCCCTTCCCCAGTGCTCCGCTGCCCCGGCAGGCGCACAGTCCTGTCCTGGACGAACCGCTGAGTGGGAGAAGGGGCACTTCAGGGCCCACGGGCACGCAGTGCGGATGGATCTCGAGGGCAGCCTTGAGAGAGGCTCTACGATGGATCACCGGCCCACAACGAGCATTTGAAAACGAACACGAGGCATGCATTACACGACCTGTGGGGTCTGTTCAGATTTCACTCATTTCCTTAAGAAGTCAGGGTTGCCTCATCCCAGCTCTGCGGACGTGAAGGAGCTAACGCACAGCTGGAACGTGGTGCCATCCATGCAGCGCAGAGGCACGTGAAGTTCTGTAAATGGGAACCTACGTCCCTGCTGACTTACATGATCCTTCCAGAAGTGCGTTTCTATGCTGGAAACTGATTACCCGTTGACGGTGGCTCTAGGCTCTAGCTCAGCCTCTGACAGCGGAGCTCCTAGGGGCAGGACCACGTGTGGGCCAAAGGGAACATTCCAGGAAGCCAGCTCTGCTCCAGCCCAAACCAGACAGTGTCAGGCCAGGCGACGGCCAGTCCCTGGGCTCTGGCCTTCACCCGAGTGAGCACGGCCCCCAAGTGCCCTTCATCAGGACAGGACAGGATAGGCAGGATCAGTGCAGACTGACCGAGTCAGTTGTATTTCATGAAACCAAGCAAACGTCCCTCCCCCTCCCCTGAAATACATTTTTAAGCAAACAAGCAGCATGCTTCAGGCTTCGATGCTCATTCTTGACGTCTGTAGCTTTTGCTACCAAAATAAGAACCGAAAACGGGGAGGGTGAGCACCTCCCTGCCCAGGATACAATCCCTTTGCAATGTGTAAGTGATTCCTAAAAGGCAACCCCGTCGTCAGCCTGGAGAAGGCGCCTGGTCCCCTGTGCCATCAGGTAGCAACGAGGCCCGCCAGCCCCGCTCCCTGCTAGTCCAGCAGCAGGCTAACCTCTCAGGCACGTGCGCCTGCACTTACATAATGACAAGCCTCACTCCCCGCAGCGCAAAAGCTGGGACTGCAAAGAAGGACAGAAACAACCCCCCCCACCCGGGTGGTGTGTGTGTGTGTGGTTACCTGGCGCTCACTGGTTTGCTCCTTGCAGGGGCTCCAGGAGAACTGGGTGCTAGCTGGGCCCCCACTGACAGTCCTTTGAGGTCACAGCCAGGGGCTGCCTATTAGCAAGAACCCGCCACAGCGTGTCAGTGCCATGTGCAGCGGATCCCACAGCCCCGAGTCCAAGCTCTTGCCCCCTGAGCACAACTGTCCTCTTGGCCTCCCTCAGCTCGGTCCCCCTCCCCAGTTCACTAAGGCCTGGGGGCAGGCTGGCTTTGGGGAGTCGGTGACCCAGCGGCTGTGTCTTCAGAGCGCCTGCGGGGGGCGGGCACAGGAACCAGACTCACACACGCCCCGAGCTCATCCGGAAGACAGAACGAGAAGCCAGCGAGGTGGAAGCGGCAGCGCAGCAGCTGTGGGTCCAAATGAAGGCAGGAGCTGGGTCACGAGCGGGGCAGGGCCTCAGAGCCGGGGCGGCTGCGGCGGTGGCTCTGCGGACTGCGTTTGCAGCGCGGAGTACTTCACTAGGGAGAGAAGCGGCCGTGAGAAAGCTGCCGTTCCAGCCGCACGCAAGGTGCGGAGCCCAAGCGCCTCGGGGCCCGCCTGTCCTGTCCAGGGGCTGGGGCAGCTCAGCCCCTCCCGGACAACCTCCACTCTGGCACCCACTGTCCCCACTCAGGGCAGGCCTGGGCCCTGGAGAGGCGGCGGAAGCGGACAGATCCTGGAAGCAGCTGGGCCTCCATTTCCTCCTCTGCAACAGGGGGATGCTCCTGGCGGGGTTGCTGGGGGATTGTTTTAAACAAAGCGCTCACCACACTCCCTGGCCCGTAGCAGACCTCACACAGTGGCAGCTAAGAGGCTTAACCATTACTGCAGTGAATGCCACCACAGGGTCGCTTTCCCATGCTGTAATGCGGGGTTCTCTAACTCACTCGGGGCAGCACTGCCAGATACTTGGCCTAAGCAACGGCCTGGAGCACCTTGTCCCCATCACACACCCACGGGCGGCCCCACTGCCAAGGCCTTCAGCTCCAGGCACAGCCCAGGGACCGTCTGCCCGTCTGCCCCACCCCGGCCGGGCCCGCCCCCTCCAGTGTTCTGGGGCCACAGGCTCTGTCTGCCTTGGGAGGGTGGCCCCTCCAGGCCAGCAGCCTGACCTGCCAATGAGTCGTGTACCCAGAAAGTGCTTGATGACCATGGAGGGCAGAGGCAGGGAGGGGCATGGACCCCAACACTGGAGGCTGTGTTTTAACCAAATTCCCTCTTGCCTTTGGCAATTTTCAAAATCCAAAGGTCACGGGTGGAGGTTCAGAGATTCCCCGCGGCCCTGTCAGCGTTCCGCCGATCCGGTCCAGTGTCCCTGACAGGGAGCAGCAGGGCCGGGGGCTGGGCCCAGGTGGGGCAAGAACAGAGGCTGAGCCACGGCCGTGCACAGAAGGCTCGACACGGCCCCAGACAGCCCCTGGGGCCCCGGTGTCATGAAGCTGGCGTCTGGCTGGTCGAGGCCAAGTGCAGGGACCCCTGGGCCCCTGCAGCTCCCCGCTCCAGCTGGAAACTAGAAACACA